GTCACTTCACAGTTTCACATCAATTGCCATGCCAACGTTATGTACTGTGAAGTCTAGTTTTAAGTTATTTAACTTTCCTTGTCAAAAGTTGCTACCACGCATGCTCTTAGATTGTCTATGGTTTTTACAACTCAAGTATGGGTTCATCTTGTTGGATATTATGTCCGAAGGCTTTGGTCAAAGACAATTTGTGATCACAAAAGGTTTGATCATTCATATACATTTCATGCATAAACCTGAGTTCCTTCTGTCTAGCCTTGTTGTCTAGTCAGAAAGTCATTAATGTCCAACTGTCTGGACACGCTTTTTAAGTCAGCCTACATGGGCTTTCTGATAGCTTTGTTCTAGGTTGAAATCTCAGCCTTATATTTGCTCAGATTGAGCTCTGCATTGATAAGTGTCTTTTATCTCTATTTGGACAGAAAATATGGCATTTCCCATGTTAAAACCCTAGCTGCCTTCCTTGTCTCTTTGGCCAGAACATTTTACAATCTTCAAAAAGTGAGTTTGAACTTTGTGCCTTCTCGTCTAGTTGCCCAGCCACAAAATTGTTCTTATGTATTTAACCTCAAGATCATTGTGCATCTAGGTTGCATTTCTTCAGTTTTGTGTTGTGTTCTTGATCTAGTTTGTGAATTGATTTCTCGATCAGATCAAGTTTAGATTATAGTCGATTCGTCCTTCAAATGTTTGATTGGAGAATCTGACTAGTTTTTAAATCCATCATTATCATATTATTTTGCATAAATCGAGTTGGTTGTCGGTGCCACAAGGTGATGAGCTCAGGAGGAGCTACCATTTTCGTGAAGATTGAAGAAGTTCATCTCATGTAAGGTAAGGTTGCACAAAGGTAAAGATGCTCCATAGATAGAGATCTAAGAGTTGAGCTTGCATGACCTTTGTATGAACTTTTGTTTACACTAGTGGATTGGACACAACGGTGAGTCCTTGATTTTTTTAACTCAGATGTGGGTTTTTCTGGCAAAAAACATCTTGTGTTGATTATTGTGTTTTTGAATTTTATACTTCAATAATTGTATATAATATGCTATCACCATAACCTGCCCTTGCAACTAAGTTAATCAGCGTTTGAATCTGTACTGAAGTAGATCTAAGTTAGCTAGGATATTTTTAGTAATTCAAGTCCTTAAATTGATTGTTTCCGCTATTGTCAATCTAATCATTTCATCTTAGTTGACTGGTGTTGTTGACTAGTCAGACAAGCACACATACATAATTTTTAAGTGCAGGTTTATCCACCTAGTATCAATTTCATGTAAATTATGTAACAAAAATGAGTCTTGGAGAGTCATACTTTTGAAAGAGTTCTCTTAGCATTTTCGCTTAATACAAAGCCATAATTTTGGCTTTACACGTTCAAGAATCATGCATGCATAGACAGAGCCACCTTGAGCCAGAGGGGGCGGATGCCCCTCACTCAAATTTTGTTTTCCATAGTAATCTTACATGATAGAGCCTTTTCAGCTATGATTTTTTTAACACTCAATCGAGAAATTAGGTTATATAGATCAATAGATGCATAATAACATGGTTATTTTCATAGAGAGATATATTTGATAGTATTGGTAATTAAGAAAATACGTTGAGTGATATTGTAATATATTGTATGAAAAACCTTATGAATTAATTTATCAATATTTTAGTAAATTCTTGAGCTTTTTAATTTGTAACTTTGTTTGAGGACACTTCCTTTCATATTGATATCTGGCTTCGTCCTTGCATGCATGCCCAAGTGACTTGGCCGGATTTGGACAAAGTTTTGCGTCGACCGTCCAAAAGATTGAAAAAAAAAAACCTTGGATTTTAGCTCAAAAATCAAACCATGGGACCATCATTGACATAAAGCATAATAGCAAGAGTGTCTAGCAAATTGTCACTACGTGTAAGTCGCATAAACCATTGAGATACACCTGTTTAGTACTTCTCACGACTCCGTCGATGAAATAAAAAGTAACTGTGAAAAAAAAAAACAATCTAACCCCAATAAACAATCTTACCCAGTATTGAAATTTCTTAAGGTGGTTGATATTTTCGTATAATTATTGTAACAATGGTCCCTCAACTTTAATCAAAATTTTGAGCAAAGAACCCTCAACTAAAAATCTATGGCCAATGGCCCTTAACTCCTCAAAACGTGTTGATGTGGTCATTTTCGTCAACTCCGTCAGAACTTTCGTCAAAACGAGTCGTATTGGAAAAATTATTGCTACAATTGGGTTAAAGTTGATGGACCATTGCTCCAATTAGGTTGAAGTTGAGTGACCATTGCTCCAATGAGATTAAAGTTGAGTGACAATTCCTTAAATTTTTTCATTTAGTTTCCCATATTTTCCCCTTGATTGTGACCTCAGGTGCGTGGCATGAGATTCATTTTGACGGAAGTTTTAACATAGTTAATGAAAATGACCATAACTACACATTTTCATGAGTTAAGAGACCAATTGTCATGGATTTTTAGTTGAGGAACAAATACTCTAATTAAGTTAAAGTTGTGAGATAATTACGATAATGTTTTCTAAATATAAATATAATAATCTACTAATTAATACATATTTCTTGTTTTGGAGGGTAGTTTCGTCAGACTCGAACTGATTCCATTGGCAGCGGATGTCTCGACTCTCCAGGCAGGAGTACGGGAACAGAAATCCTCAAATCCAAGTGTTATTATTAAAGTGTGAGCTGAGCATTTGTCCACGTGGTAGTGCTCTTCACCACCAATTGTGACAGTCTCTCCACGCTGTTAACTCCTCTGGTAAATCCGTAATTCACGGATTTGTCTGTTGTCTTTCCCCAGTAAATGATTAAAAAGGTTAAAAGTATTTCCTAACTTTGATCATATGATTCACGTGCATTGCACACATTTACTGTCATATTTTTTTTTTCTAGGATAGAGGGGATGGAAATTTGGGCAAAAATGTGAAAATTTAAAATAAACTTTATAAAATATAATATGGTATTTTGTAGATATTTAATTGATGAGTTGGAAATATAAATAAAATTTGTTAATATTAATTGAAATTTAAGAACTTTTTCAATATAACGTGACGTTTGAACATCACTTTTTATATATCTTTTTCTAATTTTTTTGATAATCATACGAAAATATCAACCACCTCAAGAAATTTCAATACTGGGTAAGATTGTTTTTTTTTTTCACAGTTACTTTTTTTTTCACCGACGGAGTCGTGAGAAGTACTAAACAAGTGTATCTCAATGGTTTATGATAGTTACACGTAGTGACAATTTGCTAGACACTCCTAGTGTACTTTTATTTCTAATTATAGAAAACTTGGAATGCAAATGAGATTTTTGGTGGGTCAATAACAATTTCATAAAAATTAAAATATACTACATAAATTTAAATAAAAAACACATCGAGTAAAAAAAAAACTAATATGTAATATAACCCGAATTTCTAGTTAGATTTCAATTTTCTTCAGCCCATCTCATTGCTAAAAACTAAAAACATTCTCCAGCCTGGAAGCCTCATTGACGAAAGAAATTAGAAGTTTGAATAATCAATCACTTGAAGTATAGAAAGAAAAGATTATCACTTGCATATGACTACACGAAATTTCATTTTGAACTCTTTATCTCAAAGCCGTGGCCGTTTTGTTTGTTTGCACTAGTTGATGCCTGTGTCTCCGCTAAATCTTAATGTTATCCATATCACCTATGTATTATTGGTCTAAAAAATTAGGTATTGCATGTGTAGGTATATATTTGGTTGAATTGAAGTATTGGATATGATTAAGCATTACATTAGATTAGATTATAAAGTGTAACTAACTTTGGTTACGAATATATGCCTAATAATCTAGATTAGATTAGATTAATAAAGTGCAACTAAATTTGATTACGAATATATGCATAATAATCTAGTAACTGGAATGTCACATAAACGCATTAGGGTAGTAGGAACCAATAGTTCCAACTCGGTGTGGCATCAGTGACTCAAGTCCCTCCCCTTTCTATTTGGCCACCAATATTTTCAACTGACCAGGCAATTTGGTCATTCCCCCACATTTACTTATGACAGATCCGAAAACCGACAAACGAGGAGGTCGGCACTGTCGGCCGGTGAACAAGGGAGGCAATGCGGCAAATTGGTAACATTAAAAGCTTATATATTAATATAAAGTTCACACAAATATTTTAAGCTTGTTTGAGAAGTACTTTTAGAATAACTAAAAATGTTTTTAAACGAAAATAATTTTGATTTTTAAAAACACTTAAAATGTTTCGTGCAAAAAACATTAGTTATGTGTTTATAGCACAAAATACTTTTTCATTTTTCCAGCATTTCACTTGCTTTTTTACTAACAATTGATTCAATAAATATTTTTACCAAAAACACTTTTAGTCATTTTAAAAGAAATTCTAAACAAGTTGTTAACCTCTTAAGTATTTTCTTATTTCAAGCATAATTAAATTGAATAAACTAAATAGTTTATAACATCTTTCACTAGGTTTGACAATTTTTTGCAAGAACCGCTAACTTAACACGAAATAACAACCTATTAAGGAGTCGGTTTTTTGCAAGAAACGCTTACCTGACACAAAATAAAACCTATTAATAAGTCAATTTGTTATCGAGTCACCATTAAGAACTCAGTAAGATATTTTTGCTAGATTTGGATATTAGAGATAATTTCTTGGACCCGTTACTGTGCTACGCTATTACACGACCTGTTTACAAAATAAAGTTGTTGTCTTGTTACATGTTAAAGACTCTTTAAAATAAATCTTTAACATGATACAACTATTAAAGTAAAATTTATAACAGAAAAAAAGTACGCGAACATAACAAACACAACTTCGTTTACCATGCCAATCTCCCGCTCCCAAATCTCCACTTATTTTACTTATCCCCTAATAAAACTCCAATTAATTTTTCAAACAATTTATAATTAATTCTTATTTTAAAGTAAATATCTAATTTCTTATAGTATTAGGGAATATCATATTACCCCCGCTCAGAATAACCAAAAAAATCCAAGGAATTCGCTCCTCTATTTTTGAATCTTACAGACCTAAACTAATGAAATGGGAATGTACATATCGTCGACGAAACCCTAATTTCCCATTCGGTTGCTGCAATTTTCCCAAATGCTCGTTTATGAAGCCTCCATAGTTCCTCTCCGCTTTGTTTTTCCGGTACTCAGCTCCCTCCCACAGACCCTAGCTGCTCGAAAAGATTTCCAATTTTTCGATTCTGTCAGCGGCATTGAGCTGTAAATTCCCAATTTGGTATCCTAAATCCCGCCTTTTGGGTGCTTCTGTTCCGCATCTGAATCGTAAGCAATTGGCGCGTTGTGGTTGTAAACTCTTCAAATTTAGTGCACGGAGCTTCTATAATTGCGGGGTTCTCCTCCATTTCTCATCTCTCTCTCTGCGCATCCAAGTTTGGAGTTTTGGGATTGGCCATGGTTGTTTCTGAGAAGGTCGTTCTTCGATTCATTTCTTTATTCGGGGTCTGAAAAGAAATGGAATTTTTGGAGAAATTGGTGAAATGTCCCAATAGATTTGTGTGTTTTTACTAATCGACGTTCGTGTCTGAGATTCTGTGTCTTTTGCCATTGGATGAAATGTCCAAATCAATTCGTTTTTCTTTTGTTTTTGTTCTTCAGAGGAAGATTTATTGTCTGAACCAACTGTGAATTTTTATTTGGCTATTTGATTCTTTTTTTTTTTCCCGGGGTGTGTTGATTTTCGAATGCTCTGTTTGGTTTCCGAGAAAATAAGTGTTTCGAATACGGGTTCATTTGACAAGTATTCCAATGCCAAGGAATGAATGAGTGGGCATGATGTTATGATTGGATTTTCGGTGGAATCATTGGAAACATGGATGTTATATTCATGTGCTTATTTTTGTTTATGCTTAATCCTCAGTTTACAAAGAAACCCAACAGTGCACAAACTATTTAGTCTATATTTCTGTTTTAAGGCTCTAGATGTTTAATTGTGAGGCTTCCTTTATGCCTTGGCTAATTCTGGTTTACTATCTTTTTTAACAATGCAGATGTTTAAAGTTGCACCATAGTTTTTCAAGTGAGTTTGAATCATGGATATTACTGAGGTTGAAGAAAGCTTATTTGCGGCCAGCGATGCCAAGGTATGAATGAAATATGGGCAGCAATCAATACAATTATATTTGCTAACAAACTAGAATTGTATGTTTGCATTATTTTTGAAGTTATCTCTATTTGGATAACTGCCACCAATGGGTCCTCTGAATATCACCTTTAGATTTTGTCTTATGGTTTATCATCGTAGATCATTGGTTGACTGTCTTTGTTTTCTTCTGCAGTTGCATGGAGAGTTGTGCAAGGCACTCTCTGGAATTTATTGCAAAATAATGTCAATATTTCCTTCTTTGGAAGCAGCGCGACCTAGGAGCAAGTCTGGTATCCAAGCTTTATGTTCATTACATGTAGCACTTGAAAAATCTAAGAATGTTCTTCAGCATTGCGCAGAATGTAGTAAACTTTACTTGGTAGGTATTCCCTCAATATTGCATTTGTAGTTTATGTAGTTATTGCCACTCCAACATGTCGACTAAACAATTATTTACCCCCTTCTACTATAGAGGAATAGATTTCTCTTTTGGTGTTTAAATTTGTTTCATTCGTGGTGAGGTTGTGTGTAAATTGTGTTCTTTGTATAATGGCCAAATTGTTTTTATCATTCAGGCTATAACCGGGGATTCTGTGCTCTCAAAATTTGAAAAGGCAAGATGTGCTCTCATGGATAGTCTTAGGCGTGTTGAAGACATTGTTCCACAATCTATTGGTTGTCAGGTAATTATCCTTCAAGGCCCTTTTGCAGTATCTTTTCCTGGTTGGTGGAAATTGCATTCCTTGCCTCCTTGGTCATGATGTTTCCTGTACATCACTTAGATGTGTTCTTAACACAGTTTATTGTTGAACTTGTTTCAGATTGAAGACATTGTTAGTGAACTTGAGGGTACTGTGTTGTCACTTGATCCCTTAGAGAAGCAAGTCGGTGATGAAATAATTGCGCTACTCCAGCAAGGGAAAAAGTTCGACAACTGTAATGACAATAATGAGCTGGAATCTTTTCATCAGGCTGCCACCAAACTTGGTATTACCTCTTCCAGGGCAGCTCTTACTGAGAGAAGAGCTTTAAAGAAAATCATCCAAAGAGCCCGTGCTGAGGAAGATAAGCGGAAAGAGTCAATTGTAGCTTATATATTACATCTTATGCGAAAATATTCCAAGCTGTTTAGAAGTGAAATCTCAGATGACAATGATTCACAAGGTTCTGCACCTTGTTCTCCCACTGTACAGGGTTCTATTGAGGATGCTGGGCCCGGTGGCAATGGTCAAGCATTTGATCGACAAATGTCAAATTTTAGTTCTTTTAATTTCAAAAGTTCTTTTAGTTCCAAGCCAAACAATCGGAAATCAGGTCAGATGCCTCTTCCACCTGAAGAATTGAGGTGTCCGATATCATTGCAACTTATTTATGATCCGGTCATCATCGCTTCTGGTCAGACATATGAAAGGATTTGCATTGAGAAATGGTTCAGTGATGGGCACAATACATGCCCAAAGACTCAACAGAAGCTGTCTCATCTTTCTTTAACCCCCAATTATTGTGTAAAAGGTCTCATTGCTAATTGGTGTGAACAGAATGGAATTTCTGTTCCAGATGGTCCCCCAGAGTCTCTGGACCTCAACTATTGGAGGCTTGCATTTGAGTCTGAGTCCACTGATTCAAAATATATGGGTAGTATTGGCTCTTGCAAGTTGAAGGGTGTCAAGGTGGTTCCTTTAGAGGAGAGTCATACTATAAAGGAGGATGTTGGAAATGAAACAGAAGATGTGTCTCCATTAGAGGAAGAGTCTGAGCTTGATGTTTTTGAAAGTTATCAAGATCTTTTAACCGCCTTGAATGAAGAGGAAGACTTCAGGAAGAGGTGCAAGGTAGTGGAGCAAATAAGGCTCTTGCTGAAGGAGGATGAGGAGGCCAGGATGTATATGGGTGCTAATGGATTTGTTGAAGCACTTCTACATTTTCTGAGCTCAGCTTTGCGTGAAGCGGGTTGTTTGGCTCAGGAAAGTGGAGCCATGGCTCTCTTCAATCTTGCTGTCAACAATAACAGGTATAGCTTAACAGATTTTAGAAGAATCAAATGTGATGACTAGTTTTTTGATAATATTTTATTCATTTTAAACTGAAAGTTCAGAGGTCTATTAGTCATCAATGTGTGGCGTCTTTTATAATAAAAAAGCGCCTGGGAAAGGGTGAAGTGTATAATTGTTTACAATGTGTTGATATTCCCTTGAGTCATGGGCGTAGAGAATGATGCATTGGCTTTGAACTCTTATTCCTTGGACTAGTATTCTTCATAACATCCTTCACCAGACACAAGTTTTCTTTCTTTCATATAATCTTCTGTTGGCTGAATATAGTTATAGATTCATATAGTAGCCTGAATGCTTCTTTTATTGCGTTGAGCGTAACAACTGGCTTGAAGGATTTAAATACAATCAGTTTAATGGTTAGTTTTTTATTTATTGGCAATAGTGAGAAGATTTAAGTCAGGGTTAGCAGTATCTGCTTAGATTTCTTTGTGGAAGAGCGAAAAATTGTAGATTTGTCCCTGCAGTAATGGGGTGCTTGGACTTTTATTGAGATCAGGGAGATATTGGATGACTTATAATGATATGTGTTAGATGTTGATTCTTCATTTATCACTTGGAATGTGTTGAATGTTCTGCGTCTTCTGTGCCACATTTCTGAGTAACATGTCACAATTTTTGGTTCTCTTTTATGCTTCTCTAAACCTTGGAAACTTAAGAATAATTTCTATTTCGTTGATTTTTCTTTTCCAGAAACAAGGAAACGATGTTAACATCAGGGGTAATTTCGTTGCTGGAGGAAATGATCTCCAATCCCAGTTCTCAAGGACCTGCGGCAGCCCTGTATCTGAATCTCTCCTGCCTTGAAGAAGCCAAGCCTATTATTGGAACAAGTCCGGCTGTCTCTTTCTTAACCCAGCTCCTTCGAGCTGATGTTGAAACCCAATGTAAGCTTGATGCCCTCCACGCCCTGTACAATCTATCGGGTGTCCAGTCAAATATACCGAAACTTATTTCAGCTGGTATTATCAGTGGTCTCCAATCCCTTCTTGCGGACTCTGGTGACCAGATGTGGACAGAAAAATGTATAGCTGTTTTGATAAATTTGGGATCAAGTAGTTCTGCCAGAGATGAAATGATGTCGAATTCAAGTCTTATCAGTGCACTAGCAACAATTTTGGAGGCTGAACAACCCATTGAGCAGGAGCAAGCTGTCTCATGTCTGTATATGTTGTGTAACGGGAGCGAGAAATGCAGTCAGATGGTCCTCAAGGAAGGGGTGATTCCGGCATTGGTGTCTATTTCCGTCAATGGCACATCAAGAGGAAAAGAGAAGGCTCAGAAGCTGTTAATGCTGTTCCGTGAGCAGAGACAAAGAGACCAAGCACCCCCTGAGCCGGAGGTGCATCTGTCGGTCGAAAATAGTGACAAGCCCATGTCTGTTCCGGAAAGCAAGCCGCTATGCAAATCCTTCTCAAGAAGAAAGATGAGCAAACCTTTTAGGTTTTTATGGAAGAGCAAAAGCTATTCTGTTTACCAGTGTTAACTCCCACGGTGCTGTAAATTTCAGTGTTGTATCGTCGTTTTATTCTTTTTGTTTTATTACTTTTGAAAGAGCGGAATGTACAGGCCCCCTGTAATTTATGGATTTTGGTTTCGAATTTACCTTTGAGGTAGGAAATATATGTCTTATGAATATGATTAATTCAAGTGGTTAACTCCCGCATATACTTGTTAATTTTTGTTAATTAATCTTTTTTAACTCATTCGATTCGACGGTCAGAGATTAAGAGAGTCTGTGAATAATACCACTCTTTTTTATTGCATGCTATAAAGCAAGATTGCTCGCTAATTGAACTCAGAATTTAGCCTTGCACCGGTTAAATAACAATTACAATATATACCATGTAATAATACCACAATTATATATCATGTTAGGTGGCATCTGATGTGGCTGTCCACATCATTTCAATTATTCAGAACTTTTATTCAATTAAAATCAGTTTAAAAAACCAATAATTAAAAAAAAAAAAAAACTGCTTAAATTATGACTGGAGTTTACGATGAGTTTGGTTCCACGACTCCTCTGGGTTTTACGAGGAGTTTGCTTTCAATTCTTCATCACCACAATTGAAATCAACTTGGTTTTTTAAATGATGGAAAATTTCATGTGTAATTTTTCCAGTTGCCTGCACCTCTGAAATTCAACACCAAAACTCTCAGAATTGGTCTGAAAGTTGTAACTTACTACAATCTCTAATATAACAAAATTCCACTTTGTTTCAAATTTTATATTACAATTTGACCGAATATAAGCATGGGTACACTCATCTTTTAGAACTTGGGTAATGATAGCAGAAGCTAATTAAAGTAAAGTTACAGTCTTTAAAGTGAAAGACTTGTGATTTTTGTGCACAAACAATTTCAGTTGATGCAATGCAAATAACAAAATTCTTGCACATTGCAATTGAGGACGTAGAAATTAAATCGAAATAGCTTAATTCTTTCTAGCTAAACAACACTATGCAATTAAATGAACAAAAATATGAGAGAGAGAGAGAGAGAGAGAGAGAGAGAGAGAGACTGATGGAGTTTCTCGGGGCTTCTCAGGTGGATCACAAACTGAACGGAGGAGGACGAGAGTTTCAAAGATCGGAGGAGAAGCACAACCCAGATAGCCCATCGGTTGGAGCTCCAAGGAGTCTGTTTTCAAGTCTGATCCTTCCTTCCCCTTCGCTTTCACTTCCTTCTCCTTCTCTTTGATTGTTTTTTTAATTAATCATTTAATTTTTAGTTTTTTAAATTGATTTTAATTGAATAAACTGATTAATTTAAATGATGTGAATGTCCACATCAGATGTCATCCAATAATTAAGGAAGTTGATGTTTCAATTCAAGATTAATTGACCATAAGGGAAATAACACATAACATTTTCACACACCAATTTACGTGATTGGAAACATATCCTTATTTGGTAAATACTTATAAACGATTGTAATTGCTTTTAGAAAAAATATCTAAAAGAAAAATTAAAGTTTAATATCTGAAAGAAAAGTCGAAGTTTTACCCGATGTCGGACAAAACTCCACCGTCCGTATTACAAATAATTGTCTGTATCCCTCACCGGCCATCAAGTGCAATAACTCTCACATCTCGAACATGGTAGAAGGCTTAGGCAAGTACAAAGATACAGCATCCACTTGTTCAATAATACATGCAAATCGGTCAGTTGGCACCCGTCCATTTCTCCATTTCACAAGGAAAGAAACGCGTCTTGTACTATACTTCGATGTACGACATGTACTGAAGTAATAGAGCATTAATATATATTTTTTAATTTTTTTAGTTAACTGTCTAAACTCTTATACATACCATATACAGAATCTAATAGAAAAACTCAAAATAATTGTGTCTTCATATTCATTATCCTATTCCTAAAATGTGTCTACGTGACTGATAATGTTATAGACATGTTTTAGGCCGGAACCTCAAGCTTGTTCCTTTTGGTGGCGAGAGGAGAATATGTAATGGGTTGCCATTGGCAATGCGGATGTTAAATTTGATGTTGGGGTCACTTATCAACTCATTTGATTGGAAGCTTGAAGATGAAGTTATACCAGAGACCATGAACATGGAGGAGAAGTTTGGGCTCACGTTGCAGATGGCTCAACCTCTTAGAGCATCAGACCGTTGAATTTTCCAGCGGTTGAAGCAAAAGGAAGAAAAAGTCATTGGCCTCTCTGGTGTGCATGAGCGCTGACATCGCCCATCATCGGCAGGCTCAAGGCTTGAAAAACGTTGGCTGGGTAGTCTAAGACCATCTCCAACCGAACGGTCTAAAGGGCCAGATGGTCGAAAATGGTCCTAAAACCGTCTCCAACTGAGGGTAGGCCAGAGGGCTCGAGAATCTGGAAGGGCCCCACGGAATTTCAAAGGGCCAAAGGGTCAAAGGGCTGGCTATTTTTTTTATAGTTTTCCTATTGCTATTGGTTATAACCGATAGCATTAAAGAATGATTTTTTAATACTGTCGATTATAACCGACAGTAATAGGTATTCATAGGAAAAATTGTTTTTTATTTACTATTAATGTCGGTTAGTTTGAATTTTTTTTTAATATAACGGCTAGCTGTTGGGTTTTTTATTTTATTTAAACATTTCTTTTCTTCTATAAATATGGTGAAGTTCTTTCAATTCTTCACTTCATTTGCAATATTTCCTTCTTCAATATTTCTCAATATTTCCTTCAATATATTTTCCAATATTTCCTTCATCTATAATATTTGTTTCAATTTTTCAATAATTTCCTTCAATATTTTTTCAATAATTTCCTTTGAATTTAAGTTGTAGTTTTTAAATAACAAATTATGTTTGACCTTATGGCCTTTTGACCCTCGGTTGGAGACGGTTTTTTGTAAAATGGATAAAACGAGCCCTCTGGCCCTCGGTTGGAGACGAAGGTAAATATGACCCTGTACTGTTCATTAAAATATTAATATCTTAGAGAATCTTGGAGGGCCAGAGGGTTAAAACGAGTCATCTGACCAGCCATCGGTTGAAAATGGCCTAACGGGCTTGGTAAAGCTCACAAATCGACCCTAAAAAAATGAGCCGCTAGAGCAACTTTTTGGAGTTTTGATCAATTTGTCAGCCACCAACCACCGACCTCACCTCTCTTATCTGCAGTTGCTGTTTCTAGACTATTGTACCACATGATCTCCATGTCCTTTATCTTTTGTCTACAATTATTTATTGGAGAACATTAAGGATTTAAACTATTTTGTTTAGGGGTGTGCTATCCACACATCCATTTTTATTTCTCACACACCCTTGTTGATTTTTGTCCTTTGATCTTCTTCAATTCATCCGATCCGACGGTCGAAAATTAAAAGGATGTGTAAGAAGTAAAAAGGGGTGTGTGTATATCACACCCCTTTTGTTTATATGCATTTTTTTTTATCAAACACTATTATTGTGTGGATATCACACCCCTTTTGTTTCCTTCACAATAAAAAACCACAAAAGTTTCGAAAATGAGGACAAATTCGTAAAAAAACCATTACTGAACATAAAACAAATTAAAAAAAAATCTATAAACCGACATGCTTAACAGTCAACCCTCACAAACTGCTAAGCAGCAGTGGACAATTTAAAAACACAAATAAAATATATATATATATATATATACATATATATTATCTTTACCATATATGTATAAAAGAAGTATAAAAGGTTACAGTAGAAAGAAGATATAAAAAAAAAACAAAAAAAAAAAAAACAAAAATCCAAAAAGTATTGGAAAACAAAATGGAAAATTGAAAGAAGCAAAACAAGTAGACGTGCTTAAGCCTATCAAACTGCAAAGCGGTAGTGGGCAATTTTCTCGCCCATAGATTTGCACGATCTGAGTTGGGAGGTTCAACACTAAAGAAAGAAATTGTATTTGAAGCAGTTGTCGTAGTAGTCTCCATTCCAATTTCACGATCCTTTGCGCTCCAACCACTCCCGTTCCCCTGCACTCCTCCAGTTTCTATGTATAGGTCTTACTTTTCCATACAAAAACGAAATCATTGCCTTTATCTCTAGGTAAAACATAACACCAAAATGGTCAATCTCTGCATAGAAACGATCCCTTCATCGAAGAGGTTCTGATTACGGCCGCCCATGTCACCTTCTACGAATTTAACATTGAGAACGGTTAATGGGTTCGTTTCCTGAATCGAAACTTCCACTTCTTCGTTTGGTTGCCCAGAAAACTATAAGAAATTCAGGGGCTTTTAAAATTAATCCAAATTAATTGTTATCTTTTTTAATTAATTATGTTTTGGATTTTTTATTTTTTGAACTTTAAAGTTATTTTGCAGCATATCAACAACGACAGAAAAACATGTGGAGAAGGAGAAAGAGATAGAGATAGAGGCGAAATCAAAAATGGGGAGCGAGAGCAGCTGGGGCATTAACAAACCTCATTTGGACCTTCTGGAAAGAAGACCACCTGAAGCATGCAATCCAACAGTCACTCCCATCTCTCAGGCGCACATTTTCTCATTATGATCAAATCAATCTCATCGACAACGTCCTTGACCACTAGCTTCGCTTTCAGCGATACCTACCTACTCCTTAATTAATTTTTTATTCATTTCACTTTAAGCAATAATTATTACAATTCTTCCATTTTTGCTGGTGAAGGTACAGAGAATGGTGCGGACTATGAAGGAAGCTTGCTTTGTGTTGGAAATATGTTAATGTCTTGGGCTCCCATCGAAATCTCTAATATCACTCCTGATAGGTATTTGCTCTACACTTTTTTTTCAAATGTACACACGCAACTTTGGGATGTCAATGATAACGTGTCTATATAATTGTACCAACACAATGTACTGCTATGTTATTTCGATTCATTTTCTACAAATTTAGGATTTAGATAGAGTAATGATTGAGATAAGGGTAGAATGTGGCTGATATGAACTCAATCCACTTCTTGGCTTCGTAACGTGGATGTTGAATGCATGCACTTTTTAAATTTTATATGCAAACAAAATCAAACCTTTTATTTGTTTTTTTTTTTTTTGTGTGTTTTGCTTGCTTCTGTTTTCAAATTTATTTTAATATAATTTTTGTTTTGGGATTAATTATGTGCTTAGAGTTTAGTAGATTTGGATTAAATTTTGGTTGAACAGATTGTGTAGTTGCGAATCTTGATCTTGATGGATAGGATTGTATAAAGAAC